AGTTGAGAAATTATACTATTTTGTTCATAAAAGTATGACACATGTTACACATATTAGCCTAGAATACTTAGATTTTGTTTGCATTTATGAATTCAAATGAATGATTAATAAATTTTGAATTACTCATTCAAGGAGTATAAACTTTAATTTAATGTATAAATTTAGATTTCAAGAATTAATTTTAGTAATTTAGTGGGATTCTTTTTTCTAATGTAACAATGATATGATTAGTAGCTATGTATAATTGTCGTTTGGATTGTCAACTACATTTGTCATAATTGAAACGAACACAAAGATAGTTTGATTGAGTCCACTTCATAACTTCCTTTTATTTTTATTATCTATGATGCTAAATGAATGAGATAGATTCTTCAAGTTTGGTTATAAATAGATGACTCTTTGGAAAGGATCCAAACCAAATAAAATAAAGGAAAATAAATATTCCGCATAAAGAATTTAGTTGTTGTTAGTTACCAAATGGAATTCTAATAAAAATAAAAGAAACACTATGGTACATATCTCTTAAAGAGTGTATACTATACGCACATTATAGCTAAAGATGAAAATAATATCATTTTATATTTTCTGAGTTATAACTAAAAAAAAATAAAAAAATTCATAACTAAAATAACATGAGTCATAATTAAGAATCTCATAAATCATAACTAAAGAAGAAAATTAGTTATAACAAAAGAAAAAAAAATGACATAATTAAAGATACATATGATACACAGGGTGTGTGTATATTAGAATTTTCCAAAAATCAAAGAACTCTGCTTTTATTTTTTATTATTTATTTATTTATTTTTATTGTGTCTCAGCAATGAAAGTGACAATTTGTTTTTGGCAACCATGAAAAATTTAAAAAAGTTAAAAAGTTATCAAAAAAATTAAAAAGTTATATTACTATTTATTAATTAAAAATATAAAAATATTAATTTACACAATATTACCATACAAAGACATGACTAGTGGTACCCGCGGTGGCAGTGCACTTTATTGGGCTGTCAATGGGGTAAAAAAAATTAGGTATATCTATTTATTAAATTTGAGGGTAATATTGGGTCAGTGGGGGCCATCAAAGATCTCTTTTTGATAATCTAAACCGTTTAATATGTAGAACTCGTCGAGTATTATATATCTATGAAAAATCATATTAATCGGATATCGCTAACTATATGATCAAATTAGTTTTGTATAAAAAATAGATGGTATTATAGTTAACGGTTGAAAAAAACTAACACGATTAAATAGTTGTCGATATCCTATCACCATGATTTTTTACAAGAATATTGTACTCGACGAGTTCTATACATTTAACGGTTCCGATTAGCAAAACGTCAGCCGTGGTGGGCCTCCAAGGGCCGGACAACATTGCCAATTTAAGCACGAGAAGTAGGCAATAATTTCCTATCTCCTAACCTCCTACTGCTCTGCCAGACTGCTGTACGAACTATCAATAACTTCTTGTACTTTTTTTATACAATTTTTTAATACATATTTTTTTAAAAAAAATTTAAAAGTTAATCCAAATATTTATATGTTTTTTCTCAATTTTTTAGCTTAAAAAGACAAAAAGTACTCTTATTTAGGACACTCCAAATAACCCCTTAATAGGAACCTATGACGAGTTCAAGTTTACTAATTACTTAAACTTGGTTTGAGAATTGATAAAATTATAATTTACTAACTAAAAATAAGTTTACAAAAAAATTAATGCTAAAAATGTTAATTTATTTAATACATTTCATACTTTTAACTTTTTTTAATAGTTTTTTTAGAGTAGCTAAAGTGAAGACAAAAATAAATTTACCAAATAACTAAGATTTTTTTAATAAAATAATTTTTAGTCAATAAAACTGACTTTTTAGCATAAAAAATAAAGAAAAAAAGTTGTTTAGTCACAGCCAAATGAAACTTTATTATTATTATTATTTTGGGTACTCCGAAAAGGAGAAACTTATCATCAATATGTATATATAAGATAGAAAGATTACATATAACTGACAATTAGTCAAACTTATATAAAGATTACATGTAACTCAAAATTAGTCAAGCCAACAAAATAGGTGAAAAAAAAGAAGAAGCTAATTGATAAGTCTCTTAGGCTTTGTTTGGGAAATTGAGTTAGTTTTTGTCTTTTTGACTAAAAAGTTTGTTTAGATTAGTTTTTTTAATTTTTGTGAAAAATAAAATAAAATAGTTATGATTTAATTGTGACATTTTATTTTATTAATATTTTTATCTTATTTTATCTTTTTATAGCTAATTTAATCAAAAAATTAACTCAATTCACATTCCAAATGATACCTTAATTTGTGGTTTGTCTTATTAGGAGGCATATGACGAAATCACATCTCAAATGGGATTTGATCAAGTTTGTCAATGAAGGAATCTCTCTTTGTGTATATTACAACCTCGTTTAGAATGTAGGTTGATTTTTAAATTTTTAAATTTTTAAATTATTTTACTTTGGGATTAAAATAATCTTATTTGGAATAGATTTTTGACTATTTTTACTTTTGTGAAAAATAAAATAAAATAATTATAATTTAAATGTGACAACTTTTGACTTGAAATTATTTATTTTATCTTTTTATAATTATTTTAATCCTAATCCCTAATCCACATGCCAAACCAAAGTGTATGTCCCTCTCCTTCTTTTCCACTTAAATTTTGATGAGCTCATTGACTCCTTATAGCTGTTAATGTAAAATAATAATAATAATAATTTTGAATATATAATTTGGAAAAGAGATCACTTCTTTTGCACCATCCAAAAGTCAAGTAATGGTTGCTTTGATGGTTTCCCACCTTTGGAGTTTAAGATGGAGGTTAATTTTTTTGACTATTTTAATTTAGGATTAAAAAATTTTGTTTGAGATTAATTTTTTAATTTTGATTTTTATGAAAGAAAAAATAAAATAATTATAATTTACATGTGACATTTTATATTAGGTTAAAAAGTTTATTTTGTCTTTTTACGACACTTTTAGCTCCAATCCACCCAAACCTATTATGCCAAATGGTGAGTTAAATAGCTTAAGCAATCCCAATCCTTCTCAAAATTTTACTTAAATTTGAATAAAAACTTTATTTATGCTATTATATAAAGTAAATATTTTATTTATGCCAAGTGTTTCATTTCTTATGTAAAACAAAAAAAAAGAATGCCTTCCCTCCAATTCAATCACGGATTGGAGTACTGTTGGGCCTCTAGGGGCATATCATGGGTCTCATTTTGATAATTTGAACCGTTGAATGTGTAGAACTCGTTAAGTACTATATGTTCGTAAAATATCACATAGATCGGATATCGATTGTTATGTGATCAAATCAGTTTTGTATGAAAAAAAATAGACGGTGAAAAATAATGACTTACAAAAATTTGATTTGATCACATAACTATCGATATCTGATCAACGTGATTTTTTATGAGCATAGAGTATTCAATGAGTTCTACATATTTACCGGTTCGGATTATCGAAAGGCCTCCACGGGACTAATAGTACCTTCCAGTGCGATTATGGACTAGAGAGAAGCCATTCCCAACCCAAAAAAAAAAAAAAAAAAAAAAAAAATCGATAAAGAAGAGAGTGGGAGGACTGAAACCTAAAACAAGTCTGACCAAAAAAAAAATTTGTGCATTATTTTTTAATATTAAACATTCTGATAGACACGTTTAGATAAATAAATATTAAATAAAAATTTCAGTAATAGCAAAGATAAATTTGAAAACTAAAAAATAATCTTAAAAAAATTAAGAGTGGAACATCAATAAATTTTAAATAGTGATCTTATAAACTATTTGATTCTCTATTTTTTCTTATGGACCCAAAAGTCCCATTGTAGTGTACATTATCTGAAGTGTATTACGACAAATGTAGATTTTCTCAAAATGTTGGAATTACTAAACGTAACATTTCAAAAAAATTCTTTAATGTAACTTTTCTAAATATAACACTTTAAAAACATAACACTTCAATGTAACACACTCAAAAAATTCCTTAGTGTACTTTCTTAAATATAACAACATAATATTTCAAAAAACTCCTTAATGTACTTTTTTCAAACGTTACACTCCAATCAATGTAACACACATAAAATCCTTAGTATATTTTTTTCAAACATAACACTCTAATGTAACACACTAAAAAAACTTTTTAGTGTACTTTTATTCTAATGTACCACTCCAATGTAATACTAGAAAACTACACTAACAGAAAAATATATATTTCCACGCTCGACAACCAACACTTCAGCCACCAATCCCTCCAAAAACATTTTATATATCTCACCTTTTCATTCTCATCCCAAAAAATAATCAAAAAATTAAAAAAATAAATTACAAAAAGACATTCACTTAAATTCAAATGACAGCAAATTAAATAAATATAATTTTTTTTAAAAAAAAAAACTAATTAGTTCATAAAAAAACTCTTAGACTAAATTGATCAACATTTTCCCATATGAGATTTATGAGTAAATTTTTCAAAAATTAAATTACCATTTGAGTTTCTTGATTTGGGTAAAAACAAATTGCAAACTTAATTTAATATAAATCAAGAGTTATATTAATAAGTTTTACTCAAATTTTAATTTGATATAAGCTTTGAATCAAGACGTTAGAGATGCCCTTATATCAAAACAAATGTGTCCTTATAGAATGTCTTCAATGTTTTGGTAAATTATATTATAGCTCTTTTCAACAAATATGTGGATCCAAACAATATAAACAAAAAACCACCCACAAAAGAAACAAACTCCTGGGCAGAAAGGATAAGGCGTTGAAACTGATATCTACAAAAAACCAAAAACAAAAGAATTAAAGATACCCCTGTGCGATAATTAACTTATTTAAGTTATTTTTACTATACAAAGCTTTTTTTTTTTTTATAAAAAAAAGAACTAAATTTCAAGGTAAAAAATGTCATAATTAACTCATTTAAGGTGCAGCAAAAAACACCAAGAAATATTCTCGTCCGAACTCCTTAGCAACATTGAGAATCCAAAAATTGAAAGATGTTTCATTAATTCAAAAAAGCCAATAAATATTCTTGCCCTAACATTCTCAAGCATAGATTTTGTCCTATTTCATTCTTCTCAATCATAAAAAGTTTTCTCTATTTTCCTGTTTCTCATATAATTTAACCTTTCACCTCAAATAAGTCAAGGCTGAAGTTACAGCAAAGACACGGAAAGGAAAACATCCTCATCATCTATATTCCTGTGGTAAATGGAAACCGGTCATAACTATTTTATCAGCAAACATCTTGCCGGTTTTGGGCATGACATGCCAGTGCAAAGTCAAGTTGTATGCTTTGCCTCGGAGATTGCTTCCCTGGATGAGGAAAAAGAAGGATATAAAACCCGAACCAGGGAGGAAAGAAAAGTAGAAGTATTCATGGGCACACAGGAGAATATTTCACAAAGGAACCTTTACCTGATCGGTGAAACGATACTTGTTTGTCGTATGGATCGAGAATTTTGCATGCTCTTTGGAAGGGATAATACCGTCCCACAGTGACACCTGAACACAGGACAATATGTAAGGTCAGTCGAGAGTTCATCCGCAGAAGAAATATGAGATATGATGAAACACAGTTTTAGGTTAGACACGTTGCAATGATTACTAATACACATTTTACAGTAGTAGTAACCAATCCTCTTTAAGTCAACAAATTATCATAAAATTTGTTAGAAGATGAAAAAAGAGGCAGAAAAAGAAAAAGAAAAAAGAACACCAAGTTCTTTATGGCAATGGAGCATAGTAAAACCAGTCAAGTCTGCCGTATCAGACTAGCAACAGAGCTGCAGGTTCAGTTAGGGATATACTACTCCATTCCATACGTGCCAATGAATCACCACACCACATAATTCCTTACGTTCAATGTAGGGGTAAGCATATCTAGGAGGTTAGACTGATGGGCAACATTAGAGTAAGATTTCAACTTTTTTTATAAACCATAAAACCCTAAACCTTTGGCAGTTTCAGATCTTACCTAGTGGCTACAATAAGAAGCAAGTAGAGAAAGCCACATGCTACGTGTAGTGTGAGGTCCAAGTATAGAATAAATTTAAGCCATAAAATGATATTGTAGATGAAAAGAAATTTAGCCACATGCTATGTGTATATGCCCTAGTCTCGCTTCATCTTTCATCTTTATTCAATTATATCACATTTCTTGTCAATTACCACGTCTCAGCAAGATCTTCTCTTGCTACCAAGTGGCAGAAGGCAAAGCAAACCACACTGAACACAAGAATACAACATTGGCCTGGTGAATGAGGTGCGAGGTGCTCTCTTACTGCTTGTGATGTTTGGGTTTGAATCTCACCATTGTGTGGTGTAGCTTCCCCTATTCCCTCCTACTGATTGTAAACATTATATATATATATATATATAAGAATCGTTGTTATTAGAATCTTACAATTCGCGATTCGATTCACAATTTTTGCAAAATTGATACGTACGTAACTTGTGAGAATATATTGTGAATCTTACAAATTAGGCATGATTGTGGTTGTACATATTAGAGTCCTATTAGAGGCGTGATTGTATAAGAGTCCTATTAGAGGTATGATTGTATTTTCCTTTTTGGTTTAGGAGTTAGGGCTATATAATCTAAGGATTGATTGTAATCAAACATTCAATCTAATACACAGTTTTCATTCAGAAATCTTACATGGTATCAGAGCTAGGTTTGGAACCCTAGCTGCTTCGCTTGTCGCCATCGTGGTTTGTGATCAGCCCTAAGTGATGACATTCTGGTTTGTCTAGGTAATCACCACCAGCCCTCTCTGGTTCGACTAGTTTGTCACCATCGGAGTCGCAACTTTTCTCTCTCCAGACTTGCGAAGGTTCGAAACCCTAGCCCTCTCTGGTTCGTTTGGGTTGTTTCGTGAAGGCCCCTCTCTTCCTCGTGATCTCTGTTTGATTCGATTCGTAGCTATCTACTTCAGCTCTCTGGTTAGTCTGGTTCGTCTGCCTCTCCCTTCCTCGCGATCTCTGTCTGAAGATCGATCTCAGCTTCAGTCTCTCTCTCTCTCTGTGCTTCAACTTGGGTATTTCTATTTAAAACCCTATTTCAGGAATATTACACTCAAGCCCCATACTTGTCTGTTCATTACAAACTTTGTTTTATTACAATGTCGGATACTAAAATCCAAGCCATCAAATGTAAACTCACTGGTGACAATTATGCCTATTGGGCTAGTGTCATGAAATTTTTTTTTCTTGGTCAAAAAAAATGGAGCTATGTTTCTGGTTCTGTTCCCCGTCCATCGGACCTGAAGGTAGAAGGGTATTTGCCTTTCTGTGACACTTGGGATTGTGATAATGTCCAAATTCTGACTTGGTTTCATAATTGTTAAAATCCACCCACTACACCACTACCACCTCACCTACTCCACTAAACCTAACCCACTACACCACTACCACCTCACCTACTCCACTAAACCTAACCCACTACACCACTACCACCTCCACTTCACCTACTCTTTACCTACTACACACTCACCCTCTTCTATATATAGGAATCATGAATCATTGTAATTTAGATAAATATATCAATATAAATCAATCAATAATACATACAATTTATTCTCTCTCTATTTCTCTTTATACATTAAATTTTACAATAATTCTGTGGATGACCGTATTGGAATGATGTTTTTCAAGTACAGTACTGCTAAGGAAGCGTGGGATTATTTACTAGGTGTTTATCACCAGTCCAACTTTGCCAAGCAATATGAGTTGGAAACAACTATTCAGAGTGCTTGTCAGCGGGATCAAACTATTCATGACTTCTATATTAAGATGACCGGTCTTTGGGATCAGTTAGCTCTTACGGATTTACTAGGTGTTTATCAACAGTCCAACTTTGCCAAGCGATATGAGTTGGAAACAACTATTTAGAGTGCTCGTCAGCAGAATCAAACTATTCAAGACTTCTATATTGAGATGACCGGTCTCTGGAATCAGTTAGCTCTTGTGGAACCACCTAGTCTTAAGATACTGGACGTTTATATTGAGTTTCAGGAGCAGGGTCATTTAGTGTAGTTTTTAACGACTTTATCCCCTCAGTATGAGGCTATCCGAGGTGACATCCTTCACCGATCTCCTTTTCCCTCTATGGATGCTATTGTTCGTGAGCTCCTCTCCGAGGAAACCAATCTTAAGATGGCCAGTCAGATTTTGCCTCCTTCTGTCTTCTTGGTTCCTGCCAAGCCTCCCTTGTTATCGACCCCACCTCCTTATCAACTTCAAGCCACTGCGAAACCCAAAAAGGACCATTAGAGCCAAATGAGTGTGCTTTTTGCCATCAGAGGGGTCATTGGAAGAACAACTGTCCTAAGAAGGGACGTTAGCCTGCTCTATCTTCCTAGACATAGTTCCGCAATTCTACTTTGGGTATTTTCCGCCCTCCTGCCGCTTACACTGCATCTACTCCGGTGCCCGATCCTGACTTGGCTTCTTTGAGTGCTCAGGTTGCACAACTTCAGCATATCTTCTCAACCACCCCCATCTGCCTCTGCTCTTACCTCTCTTCATTCAGGTTTGCTTGGGTCCTTTTTAGGTATTCCTTCCTCTGTCTGACTTTTTGATTCTAGTGCCTCTCATCATATGACTCCTCACCTTTCCTTACTCCAAAACTGTATCCCTTCTCCCTTCTCTATTACTATCAATACTGCTAACAGGTTTGGTATGTTTGTCCTATCTATTGGGTCTGTTTTACCCTCTGTTATGTCTGCTATTACTATTCCTTCTATTCTTTATGTTCCTCAACTGTCTATTAGCTTGCTTTCTATCAGTCAGTTTGATACTTCTGGTTTTAATGTTATCTTTTCTTCTTCTGTTTGTTGTGTGCAAGATCAAGTATCCAAGAAGTAGATTGGAACCAGCCGTAGAGTTGGAGATCTCTATGAGGTGGAAAGCCTGCATCTTCCTCAGTTTACCTCCCCCGTTGCACTTTTATCTTTTCAGTTAGATTCTCAGTCGAGTCAGTTTTATTTATGGCATTCTCGCTTAGGTCATTTGTCTGTTGACCGCTTGTGATCTTTAGTTCAGTCAGGTTTGTTAGGTAAAATTTCTCCTAGTCAAATTAAAGAGTGTCGAGAATGTAAACTTGTTAAAATGACAATTTTACGTTTTAATAACAGTACTTATATTTCTGCTTCCCCTTTTTCTCTTGTACATACTGATGTCTGGGGACCTTCTCCTGTTCTCACTAAAAGGGGTTCTGAGTATTATGTATCCTTTGTTGATGATTGTACCCGCTATACTTGGATTTATCTTATGGCTCATAAATCTGACTTTTACCAGATATATCGTACCTTTCAGTCTATGATCACTATACAGTTTGGGGCAACAATTAAAATACTCCAGTTTAACTTGGGTGGGAAATACTTTAAAACTGAATTCTGTGAGTATTTGGCCAAATTGGGCACCATTCACCAATTCTCCTGTACTGATACCCCTGCCCAAAATGGTCATGCTGAGCGTAAACACCGTTATCTCCTTGAGACAGCTGGATCTCTTCTTCTCACTGCCTCTACTCCGGCACCATTCTGGGGTGAGGCAGTTCTTACCGCTACTTTCCTCCTTAATCACATGCCTTCGGTCGATCCCCTTATGAGGTTCTGTATTCTTAACCTCCCAATTATTCCCTCTTGCGTGTCTTTGAGTCTGCTTGTTTTGTCCTCCTTCCTCGTAAAGATAGGACCAAACTCAGTGCCTGGTCTGTCTTGTGTGTCTTTTTGGGTTACAGTCTTACTTAGAAAGGCTACTGCTGTTACGATCCTGTCTCTCGTCGCCTTTATGTCTCCCGTCATGTTGCCTTTCTTGAACGTCTGTCTTACTTTCAGCTTCCCCCTCTTACTGCTTCAGTTTCCAAAGAGAATTTGGTTCACATTGACCCATTTCCTTATGAGGTCTCGCCTGACGAATACATCTCCACTGTTCCTCCTAAACTTGTTCCGTCTTCTCTTCCTGCTTCACCTCTCGCTGCTTCTCCTTCTTCAGCTTCTTCTCCTCCTTCGTTATTAGTTTATTCTCGTCGCAAGGCTTCTCCTCCACCGGTTGTTTCTGCCCCTGTTGCTGCTGCTCCTTCTTAGGGATGGCAATTTGAACCTGGCCCGACGGGGACCCGACCCCCCGTCCCCGATAAGAGTGGTTTTTCCCCGAAAAATACCCCCGACGGGCCGGGGATGGTATTCAAAAATAAATCCCCGGTGACATTCGGGCCGGGGACGGTGATACATATTTTATCCCCGGCCCCGACCCGGCCCCGGCCCCGCCCCGGCCCCGGTTTAGCCCCGATTTGTATTCTATATATATATATATGTTTAGGGTTTGGTTTTGAACAGCAGCTCCACTTTCTTTAAATACTATATATATATATATATATATATATTTTATATGTTTAGGATGGTCTTACACGACTCACACTTTTGAGAGTTCTTCAAATATGTCATAATATTTCAATTTTTATTTGTAAATTTTGATTTGTTTGATGAAATATGGGTTGAAAGGAACCTTATTTAATAAATCTCAAAAGATGTCTGATGTTTTCAATGAATTAGGAAAGGAAAAGTCAAAAGTGCTCTAAATTAAATTATTGTTTTTCAATGTGTGGAGGCCACTGTTATTTGTCCAATAATCTTGAATATTCTTGCAAATCTAGTGTGCTATTTAATTTAACCGAGCACATAACCTTTGATAGAGCTTAAGGACAAAAAAATTTCATGTAGTTGACAACATTTAAATGGAACACATGACTTAATTTGGTTTGATTATATTTTGGGTTGTGGCCATCATGATAGGATGATTGCAATTTATGTGCAACAATGCTATGATCACCACATTTGTGTGTCTCAAGTTGTTTACTATCTCATGTGTTATCATTGCATTAGCAATAGATACGAGTGATAAGACTCATTACACCAATGCAATTGTGATACATGGGATGGTAAATATCTTTTCATATGCAAATATGGGCATCATAGCATTATTGTCTCACCATGATTCGTGTTCACATTGACCCATTTCCTTCTGAGATCTCATCTGATAAATACATTTCCACTATTCCTCTTGAGCTTGTTCTATCTTCTCCTCCTACTTCACCTCTGGCTGCTTCTCCTCCTTGGGCTTCTTCTCCTCCTCCGTTATTAGTTTATTCTCGTCGCAAGGTTCCTCCTCCACCGGTTGTCTCTGCCCCTACTGCTACTCCTCCTGCTTCTGACAACTCCGATTCTGCTGAACACCAATATCCTACTCGAGCGCGTCATTCTCCAAACAGGTTGAGTTGGTCTAATACATATTTTTCTGCTTCCTATCGTACTTTTTTGTTTGCTATTCACTCTTTTTCAGAACCTCAGTTTTGCAAGGAGGTATGTCAGGATCCTCATTGGGTTCAAGCTATAGAGGATGAGTTGTCTGCTCTACAGAAAACTAATACTTGGGAGTTGGTTTCTTTGCCTACTGGTAAGAACTTGGTTGGCTACAAATGGGTCTACAAAGTCCAGACTCATTCTGATGGGTCTCTTGAGTGCTACAAAGTTTGTCTAGTTACCAAAGGTCTCTCTCGAGAGTATGGTATTGATTATGAGGAAACATTTGCTCCTGTTGCCAAGATGACTACTGTCCGTACTTTGATCTCTGTCGCTGCTATTTGTTCTTGGCCTCTTTATCAGATGGATGTTAAGAATGCTTTTCTTAGTAGCCATCTCACTGAGAAGGTTTACATGCGTCCACCCCCTAGCCTTCACCATTCCTCTAGCCAGGTTTGTTGTATTCGGCGTGCTTTGTATGGTCTGAAGCAGACTCCTTGTGCTTGGTATGATCGCTTTCAGATTACTGTTACCGAGCTTGGGTTTTATTCTTCTGCTTCCGACTCTGCTTTATTTCTAAGACATACATCGGCTGGTTTTGTTGCTCTCTTACTCTATGTGGATAATATGATCATCACTGGCTCTGACTCCTTTGCTCTCTCTGAAGTCAAGTAGCATCTCTTCCGCACCTTCGAAATGAAAGATCTGGGTCCATTACGGTATTTTTTTAGTATTGAGGTTACTTCTCTAAAGGGCTATTTTCTGTTTTAGGTTAAGTATGTTAATGAAGTCATTCGCCGTGCTGGTCTTACTGATACTAAGGTTTCTGATACACCTATTGAGCTTAATGTGAAACTTAACTCTACTGATGGTGTCCCTTTGGATGATCCCACTTTATATCACGAGCTTGTGAGTTGCTTAGTTTATTTGACTGTCACTCGTTCTGATCTTGCTTATATTATTCATGTAGTTAGTCAGTTCGTTTTTGCTCCTCGCTCTACCCATTGGGCTGCTTTGGTTCGCATTCTTCGCTATCTCAGGGGTACCATCTTTCAGGGCTTACTGTTGTCCTCTACTTCCTCTTTGGACTTAGTGGCCTATGCTAACTCTGATTAGGCTGGTGATGTTACTGATTGTAAGTCTACGTCTGGTTTCTGTATGTTTCTTGGTGATTCCTTGATCTCTTGGAAAAGCAAGAAACAATCAGTCGTTGCTCGCTCTACTGCCAAAGCTGAGTATCGTGTTATGGCTCATGCCACAGCTGAGATTGTTTCGTTTCGTTGTCTCTTGTCTGATTTGGGTGTCTCTTAGTCTTCTCCGACCTCTCTCTATTGTGACAACCGCAGTGCTGTTTAGATTGCTCACAATACTGTCTTCTATGAGCGGACGAAACATATTGAGATTGATTGTCACTTTGTTTGACAGCATCTGCAGTCTGCTTCTATCTCGCTTCCTTTCATTCCTTCAGTTTTGCAACTTGCGGACTTCTTTATTAAGACTCACACTACCGCTCGATTTCAGTTTCTTCTTAGCAAACTCTCAGTGTTTTCTGCTAAAACACCTTGAGTTTGAGCGGGAGTGTGAGAATATATTGTGAATCTTACAAATTAGACACGATTGTGGTTGTACATATTAGAGTCCTATTAGAGGCATGATTGTATTAGAGTCCTATTAGAGGCATGATTGTATTTTCTTTTTTGGTTTAGAAGTTAGGGCTATATAATCTAAGGACTGATTGTAATAAAATATTCAATTTAGCACAGTTTTCATTTAGAAATCTTACATATCTATGGGTGAATCAATTTTGGAAGTGAATCTCTAGTGAATTGCAAGATTCACAATCGATTCACGATTCGATTCACTTATTATGATTCATACAATTTTTGAAATTATTGTTCCCGATATATTTTCGACTCTTTTTTTTTTCTCCATCTTTTTAGTGAAAATGACATAATCTACAAAGCACTGACACGTTCCCAGGGTTGGCGTACGAGTGTCGGACACGTGTCGGACACACAGTGGACACATGTCCAACACTCTCTCTAACATGTCCTCTTTTTTTTTTTTTTTGAATTTTTTCAGTTGGACACGCGGTGGACAAGCGATGACACTTTCTGGACAAAGATCGAAGAACCCTAAGCTGTTAAAGAGATCGAGGGAGAGATTGATTGAATAAAAAAGCCCTAATCTGTTCAAAAGAGATGAATCGAAGAAGCCCTAACCTAAGGTAATCTTCTTCGTCTTCTCTGCGAGTCTGCTTCCTTCTCTTCGTTTTCTTTGGTTCAACTTCCCTGTTCGTCTTCTTCTTTGGTTCATCTCTGGTTCATCTCTCTTTTCTTCTTATGTTCTCTCTTTCTGATTTCACTCTGTTCTTTTCACTTCTCTCTTTTTCTCTTCCCGTTTCTCTCCCTTCCTTTTATTTCCTGATTTCACTCTCTCTCTCTCTCTCTCCTCCCTTTTTTTTATCTTTATTTTTATTAAACCTAAAATTTATAGAATAAATTATTTTTATTTAAAAAAAAAATCAATTTTTATTAAAAAATTTTTAAAAATATGTTTATTAATTTTTATAAAATTAAAAAAATATGTTTATTAATTTTATTATTATTATAATTGTATAGGAACTAATAATTTTTTAAAATTTTAGACATATAATAAATAAATAAAATTATATATATTACATGTCCCCAATATGTTGTGTCCCCCATTTTTTGAAAATTTACGTGTCCACGTGTCCGTGTTCGTGTCCGTGCAACATAGGATATACATGTCCCCAATATGTTGTGTCCCCCATTTTTTGAAAATTTACGTGTCCACGTGTCCGTGTTCGTGTCCGTGCAACATAGGATATAATACAACTTCTAATAGCGTTTAATACTAAAATAACCAACATATATACATGATTTGTAATTATTTTAATGACCATAGAGTTTTTAGTGATCAATGGGTTCAATTCTCCTTAGGGGGGTTGAATTAAAGAAGTACAAGCACTTAGGTGCTTTGCCAAGAGTGGAAAAATTTTCTCTCATAAGTGCTAATCTAACAACTAACAACTAACATTTGCCAATCAAAATAAATAAATAAATAAATATTGTTGTTAATTATTGTTACTTTAGAAATGGATAGTTTGTCTATTTGGTTATTATCTTTATTAAGAATGGTTGTTTAAAAAAGAAAAAAGATATGATGGCGATCTTATATAGGAACCTTTATTAACTTCTTACCTATTAAACTATGTGATTATTATTCAAAATAACATTTTCATTGATTTAAGTCTAAATATTTCATATTCATAAAATATATTTAACATCTAAATGTGTAAATATATGTTTTTAAGTAATTTAAAAAAAATGGCTGAATCTTTACGATTCATGATTCAATTCGATTCGCACTTCGGTACGAGGCCTTTTCGATTCACGGTATGAATCTCGATTTAACAACTATGATAAGAATAGATAGTGTATTACTGCTCAGCGGTTTTGTATGAAACAAGGGAAAGTGATCCACTATGATTTCAACCGTGCCCCAATAGGGGAAGGCTTGGAAAGGACTATGCATACGAATCAATGGCATCACAGTCATGATCAGGACTTATGATTTGTAAAAGGTATCATAGTAGCCTACAAAAATAGCTAATGGGTAGTTTAGTTTCTCAATAAAAAAGGCAATTACTCTCATCTGGGTTCTCCACTTCAAATCAAACAACATTACCACGAGGTTATAGTACTTATTAACTAATCCACATCCAAATTAGAAATGCCCAATGCAATGGAGTCTAAGAATGACATGGACAATGATCTGACTGCACCTATCCAGCAGGGGACATTTAAAAAAAAACTGACTAGCTCCATAATAACCTCATGAAATTTGAAATGAAGACCAAGCTTAAAACGTATAATATTCAATGCCAAATTGAGATGAATTCATGACGAAATGATGCATGCCACCAGATGCTACAAGCTTACCTGATTCAGGAAGTTCTTTGGAGTTTCATACTCCGCAGCTAAAAATACAAAAACCTGCAATTAGAAAATAAGATGCAAATAAAATACTAAACAAGCTTCAAAACTACCGATACTACAAACAGTGACCTCGTCTGACCCCACTATGGTATGATTCCCTTGGGATTTGCAACATTGTTTTCTTCTGCTTCACCTTTTTCTCCTATTTTTCGGCATTCTACTTTCCCCTCTTCCATTTTTGTTGAGGACCCCAGATGTCGACCACCACTATTCCTCCCCCTCCCAACCCCAGCCAAGACACCCCCACTCACAGAGAGAGAGAGAGAGAGAGCAAAGCATCATCTAAACAGTAACAGACCATTAAAATCAGTACTAAATTAGAAAATATGAAATTGTGAAGTATTAAACCTGCTTTGTATTCCATGTAAACAATGACTGTAGATTTGCTGATATATTAAACGTCATGCTGACCTGCAGAAATGAAGGACACAACAAATCAAACAGCAGCTAGGAGACAAAAAGTGTAGATATAATGAGATATGATCAACACAGGTGGGTTGGTTAGTTATACCTTCTTAATTGATATGTCTTTAACTATATCATCATAATTTCTAGGTTTAAGAGGATCTAAAGGCATATAATATAACAATGTGAAATCCAGACTTCAGAGAAATGAGATCAGCCCACAGAAGCCAATGAGGAACAGGTAATCATAATAATCTCATGGTAGGGACCCATATCCAAAATTTGAAGGCTCTCTTTGGCTATCATCTATACTAGGATATAAAGGCAACACACAGTCGGTGAAGCTTGATTTTGAAGCAGTGTCACGTTATTGTTTTTATTTCCAAAAGACTCCTAAAGGAATTGATTAATTCATCTGTATGATGATTATTTTCCAAATCACTTACGACAAAGATGTAAATTCATGAAGATATGATTTACAAGAATTCCATGCAATCTTGTCTTTTTATGTTTATTTTTGGTTTTTTTCCCATTTATGGAGGGAGGGGTTTGAGAGATACTTTCTTATAAATGAACACTAGCAAGTTTTATTGCAAAATGATAAGAATGAACAAGAGAATAGGCGAGGTATGCAACCACCAATAAGAGTACAAGCAAATATAGGAACAAGGAAGAAGTTATGAAGCATGGATACTCCAAAATCGGTGCCGTGACAATGTCAGAAATGGGGACACGCCGGGGACATGCCTGGGACACACACGTATGGGGGGGGGGGGGGGTTTGAGAGATATTTTCTTATAAATGAACACTAGCAAGTTTTATTGCAAAATGATAAGAATGAACAAGAGAATAGGCAAGTTATGCAACCACCAATAACAGTACAAGCAAATATAGGAACAAGGAAGAACTTATGAAGCATGGATACTCCAAAATCGGTGCCGTGACAATGTCAGAAATGGGGACACGCCGGGGACATGCCTGGGACACACACTTTAATTTAATGATTTTTTTGTAAGGGACATGGCGGGGACACTCGTGTCCATATTGGGACACAGCATGGGATATGGCGGAGCTCACTTTTTTTTTTTTTTTTTCCCCTTCTTTTGCATCTCTTATTTAGTACTTTTGTGAAGAATATTGTTAGATGTTAAATGTTTTTCCTTTCTCGTCTTGGTTCTTGTTATCGTTTATTATGGATGATCTATTAATATGTTTAAATGTAGTAATTATATTTATTGAATTAATGTTACTATGTTAGTATTTGTTAATTTTGATTTAAGATAAATGTAATATGAATCTACATAACACATAAAAATATAAAAATTAAAAAATTCGATGTGTCCACTGCTGTGTCCTGTGTCGGTGTAGGTGTCCGTATCCGTGCTTTATAGAGAAGAACTATCAAGAAAAGAAACAAATGAGCAAGGTTTTCCACTGTTCTCTAATGGCCTCCAAAGAAATAAACTAGCTCTAAACAATTTCCAATTAGTACAGAAATATGGTTAAGGGCAAGGGCAGAGGTCCACATTTCCGTCTTCCATGCATTTTTTGTTGAACTTACGGCTATGGTATAGGAAGAGTGATTGCACCCCCATTACCCTCACTTTTTGTCACCATCAAAAAATAAGAAAATATGGATAAGATGGGCACAAGAAGCATAAGGAAATATTGAAATTAAATCCTCTTCACCAAATCCTAAATCAATTGAATTGTAGGACCCATTTGGTTCTCTTTTCAAATTGTAATTCTAATTAAAAAATTGCAAAACTCATAACTAATATACAATTTAAAACTCAATTAAAAAACTATTTTCAAAACTTATAACCAAATACACAAATTCTTTTCAAAATTCATAACCATACTCTTTTCAAAACTCTATTTAAAAAAAAAAATCAAATTTTTATTTTATTTTATTTTTTTAAATTATTTTTTAAAATAATGATTTGAGTGTGGAGTTGTGTTTTGAATTGAGTTCTGAAAAAAGAAAATTTGTTTGGTTATGAGTTTTGAGAAGAGTTTTGAGTTGTATTTTTTTAATGTGAACTGTATTTCATATAATTGTGCGCTGTATTTTTTTTAAATATTTAAGTTGTATTTTTTTAAATATTTAAAAAAATTATTTTTTATTTTAAATATATAATTTTAATTTTAATTTTTTTTTTACTTTTTTAAAAATATTTATTTTTTTAAATTTTAAAAAAATTTGGATCGCTACATATTTATAAATTATAACAAATTATTTGGCCAATACTTAAAAAATAACAAAAAAAAAAAAAATCGGAAAAATAAGAAAATATTTTGAAAAAAATAATGTTTCAAAAAAATATATAAATAAAAAATAATTTTAAGGAACAAAATAAAAAATATTCTTTTAATAGAATTTTGAAAAGAGTTTGATTATGAGTTCTGAAAAAAGTTTGAGTTTTTGAATCACAAATCCACACTCAAATCATGATTCTAAATCTAAACCAAACGAAGCGTTATTTTTTCTTTCTAGAGGGTCTGATGTCTAGAGATATACATGCAATAATTAATGCTATCACATCATTCTTTGTTTCTACAAGACTCTAAAAGGTTTACTTTGGTTATTTCTTGTTTGCTTCTTGAGCTTTTGATGCTCTTATGATTGCTCTGTATATTTTTCACAATGCACTAAGAGAACAAGCAAAAATTTCAAGTACTAGAATTCAAAACATCGCATCTATACTAAATGAAATGACATAAAATACCACAGACAAATTAGAGGTCGATATCCAATCAAGGGGAAATCCGTTGCAATGTTGTTTTTAGGAAAAAGATTAGTCAGGTGTTTTGAATTTAAATGATTTTTATTTGTCATTTAACTATGTTAGACACGAATTAAAAAATCACACTTTCACAATTTATGAACTAGCCCTATTGGCTGTTAATTTTGTGCCTGTAGGGAATGTTTGATACAAAAAATTTTGTTGGGGTATTGGATGTGATGGGATATTGGATAGAATTAGGGCTGCAAACGAGCCAAACCGACCCGAGCTTTAGTATGTTTGGGCTTGTTTATTAAGATTTAAATGAATTCGAATTCGAATTCGAACTCGAACTCGAACTCGAACTCGAGCTTGAGTTTGATAAAAATTTAACGAACCGAACTCAAACGGAATTGGCTTAAACTTGACTCGAGTTTGAGCCTGTTCACGAACCAAAAAATTTATAAATTCATATTTGCGTATGAGATTAAAATTACAATTAAAACTTTGATTATACAATTATATATACAATATATAAAAATATTCTAAAAAAAAAAAGCCAATATTTTACCACAATAATAATATCTCCTACCATTATTATATAAATTTACTATTTATAGTTAACTATTATTTACATTTATATTTTTTAAATATATAAATAACATATTTATCTCATTTTTTTATACATATTTTTATATTATTTAATATATAAGTAATAAATATTAAATGAGCCAGCTAACAAGCCAAGCTTTAGAATATTTAGGCTTATTTATTAAAAATTTAACGAACCGAGTTCGAACGAGCTCTTACCAAGCTGAATTCAAGCCTGTTCACGAGCGTTTTTGTTCATTTACAGCCCTAAGAATAAGTTGTACCATGGGATTAAATGATTGGATATGATGGTATTATATGTCATATGATTATTTGTACAATTTTGGTTAGGATGATGAGATAAAGAATGAAATAATAAGATATAACCATTGAATGAAGGAGGAAAATAATCCAGAGAAGCCTAATTCCAAAAATCCAAAGGTAGGTTGTACTAGTTATCCCCCCTTTAATTTCCCTATATTCAATATAAGTTACTAGGAGGTTTATCACAAGATTATTGTCCTTGCACCGAACAACATACTAGAGGATGGGGAAGAGGAAAGAGGAGCTTTTTTTATTTCAAGTTTTGCCCCAAAAAGACATTGTTTTGAGACACTACATGCAATGCACTACATGACCTAAGAGTAAGACAAATTTTGGATTATGTTTTCACATGTACTATTCTACATTTGGGCTAAAGAGAAGACTTGAGCAAACAGTGAAACGATCAATTTCTTGTTTTATAGTTGTCGTTTGCAGTATTCATTAGATTGGGAATATATTATCCATGAAGGTAGTAGGAAGCCATTGGTCACCGAGATCTCCAGAGCTCCTTAACATTATTCTTGCATTGTATTATAGCCTTTTCATATCTGTGTTGACATTACAAGTGAAAGACTTACCAGACCTTATAGGCAATGAATCAAGGGTTTAGAAACCCCAGTTCTACCAGTGCCTCACAATTAACTACAAGTCAGTCAAGCAACACACAAATGCTGCAAAGCATTGATTGCATAAATGGTAGACACTACAACCCTATCCCCCATGCTCCAGCATGAATACAAAAGGACCTATGTTCCCCGTTGAAAACTCTGATGTTTCTACACCATGAAGGAGTACATAAGAAACTAAATTTCATCACATCAAAATTAAATAAGCCTGAATGTGCCGTTCCAAATTCAGAATCTTGAAACCAAATTTACACTGGCAGCACACAGATTGACATGCTACAAAGAAGTACATCGATGAATCAGCCAATAAACCATCAACAAACAATCTGAAACAATCACAAAACTATAAAGATAGAGCAGTGTTGCAAGTAACTTAACTACGGCCAATATTGCAATAAACACACACATACACACACACACACACATTCATATAGGTTGTGTTTGTTTGGAGGGATTAGGCCAGGTGATTGGACTATGTATCGTGCTCAATTCCGAATCCCACATTTGGATATACAATGTGGGGGGCTTTTGAATCCCATGCAAGGGGGTGAGATATAAAATAGGGATTAAGGAGTACTTCAATTATGATAATTAGACCGTATAGTTCATTGCCAACGATTCCAAACAAACATGATGAGACATATACATACTAATTCACTCCTATTCTAAGACAATTCCAAATATGTGATAGTATACATAATATAATCCTATGGATTGATAATCTAAACTAAAAACTAATAAGTAGCCATGTAATCCAGTCAAATGAAACACACATGGTCATAATAAGATGAATTGGAAATACCTCGTCGTTGCCTTGTGTAGACTTCTGGAACCAATTAATGTTCAAGACCTAAAATCACAAACAAACAAACAAGAATCAATCCATCAAATCGCAAAAAATCAAAAATGATCGAGCAAATAGAGAATTAGGGGTCGTATATAGATCTGATGATAGAGTTTTAGAGAGAGAGACCTGGACATGGGAGGAAGGAGAGGGAGAGTTGAAATTGTCGGAGAAAGAAGCCATGGCGCAGATTAAGGCGAGGACTGTGATGGAGAAGGTGAGCAAGGCGTTGGCTCTGTACCCGAAAGAATGCATTTTTACTTTCCTCCTAAACCCTAATTCTCTTCTTCTTCTTTGCGTTTTTGCAGAAAACAATTACAGGGAAAAGCCTACGGACTTCTCCCACTGGTGGTGACCCAGTGAGGAGTCGTTCTTTTTTTTCTTCTTCTTTTTCTGGCAAAACCTAAAAAATAAATAAATTGAATTTTTAATACGTATTTTTTAATTTTTTAGTAAATTTTTAATTAATTTTTTTATTTTTTAAATTAACTTAATTTCAATACACTTAAAAACTACAAATTTTTTGGAAAATGTTTTTAAATTCATTATATATCCAAAAATAATAATTTTTATTGATAAATCTCCTTTAGAGGTGTTTTAACCTAATAAATTCACCAATAAAAATTATAACCTAGTTAATCCCATGTATTTCTACTTTTATTCCATAATGTCATTTTTTTTTCTTGATTTATATTTTTATTAGACTATTATACTATTATGTATATTGTTGATATGTATTACATAGAAAAAAGATATACACATTTTCTTTTTGTTACTACCTCTATTTGGCAGTTACCATTATTCATGTTTTTCTTTTTGATCAGTTTCATTCACATTTGTGATATTGTTTCATTGTGCTAGGGTTTCAAAACTCTCTATTTGATAGGGTTTAGAAACTTTAATTTACACGTGGTGGTGAAATAATATTATGTTCTTCTATTATTGCGGTAAAATTTTGTGTTCATCCATTGTCATTTTGTGTTCGAAGTTTTGTATTCGTCCACTATTGTTTTGTGTTCGAAACTCTATGTTTTTCTATTGTTGTAAATCAAAACTCTGTTTATATCAAATCAATTTTGTTACAAACATATTCTTCAAATGTGAGTTTGGTTTGATTTGGATTGGTAAAATAGTGAAATTGTATAGATCGTTAATGATAGTGATAATGATAAAGACAATGATGAAGATGAGGGTGTGGGTTTGGGTGAATTTTTTTATTTTATTTTTTTGTTTTTAGAGTGATTGAGTTTTTTTTTTGGACTTCTAATTATATTGCTCCCATTATTTCTTTTTTTTTTTTTTTTTTAATTTAGAGTGAATGTTCACATTTCACATTGTTTGAAAGCCTAAGAAATAAGTGTTGAAATATATATATATATATATATGAACATAATTATATGTTTTGTAAAATGTGAATATTCACATGTTATTGGTTATTTATAACTATACTTATTATTTGAACAATCATTTTTTGTTACTATTAAACAATTGAAATGATTTTTTTTCCCTTTCAATTTTGTTTCATATTGCAGTGTAAATGTTCACATTGGTATGAATTTAGTTTTTCTAAGGTTAGTTGTATGTTAATTGTAAATTGTGAACATTCATATCGTATTCTGGTATGAGTTTTTTTTTTTTGAAGTTTTTTCGAAAGTTAATTGTATTTTGTTATTTTTTACTATGATTCTTGGTTGAACAATTATTTTTGTTACCATTGAACAATTGAAATAGTCGATTTTCACTTTTTTCAATTTTATTTTATATTTTCACGTTACAATATAAATATTCACATCAGTATGAGTTTATTTTTAAAGAAAACTAGTTGTGTATTAATTGTAAATTGTGAACATTCACATTACATTTTGATATAGGTTTTATTTTTTCGAAAGTTAATTGTATGCTTTTTGTTTTTGTTATCGTGCTTGTTAGTTGAACAATCATTTTTGTTACCATTGAACAATTGAAATAGTTGATTTTCACTTTTTTCAATTTTGTTCTATGTTTTCACATTGCATTTTAAATGTTTACATTGGTATTTTTTTTTTTTAAGGCCAGTTGTATATTAATTATAAAATTGTAAACATTCATATTGTATTTTGGTATGAATTTTATTTTTTCGAAGATTAGTTGTATATTTGTTATTTATTGTGAACATTCACTTTGTATTTTAGTATGTGTTTTGTTTTTTCAAAAGTTAGTTTGTTGTTTACTGTGAACATTCACATTGTATTTTGATTTTTATTCAGATTTTTTATGGCGCTATTTTTAAAATTTTCAAATTATAAAAAGGTTAAAAATTCATAATTTGAGATTTAGTCCATGAAATGCGAGAGCGATTTTCTTCTTAGAAGGGAGAGATTTTCTCCATGGAATAAGAGAAAGATTTTCTCTTTAGAATGAAGGAAATATTTTTTCATAAAATGAGGGACTATTGTAATGTATTAGTTTCAAAATAGAAACATATGCAAAAAAATAGAAATTATGATATGGTCATATTACATTAAACAGGACTTAATGGAATACTAAAAAGGAATATGGATTAGATGGAATAAAAAACTTAGAAAGAGAATTTACCAAAAAATGACATTTTTTTTGTATTTTTGTTGAATTTTTGTTAGATTTATTCATAAATATTTTATTTTTTTAATTATATTTAGATTAGGTGCATCTTTAAAAAAAAATGAATAGAGTATGAAAAAAATCACTAAAATTAATAATGAGTTATATTAGAGATCTCAAATAATTTATCAAATTTTTTACCAAATCTCTCATATGGATGTGGATCTACACACATATGAATTTGTGTGCAACCCATACATATGTGAAAGGTTTGGTAAAAAAATTGATATATTATTTAGGATCCATAACATTTTTCATTAAGAAAATAGGAAATACAAAAAAAAACTCAAAACTTTAAAACCAAACACAGTGAGAATTTTGTTAACTATGACCCAAAATATTTATAAATTAATAATTTCCAAATAATGTGAGGAGCACGTAAAGCAAACCCAGAATAATACAAAGTACAGGCTAGATTTTATAAAATTTATCGATGGAGCCTACTTCACAAAAATCCTATCCAATTGTGGGGGCATATTTTTGTGAATGACAACACGTAACTAAGGTGGCACCGAAGTGCCAGCCGAGGTGTCACGTGTCCTGATCATGAAGTCAAGATTATCTTGGCTAGGCCGAGGTTATTTGCGGAGATGCCGAAGTCCGGGATAAACAAATAGGCTATAAGAGTCCTAGGATGGGGGAGGACTTCAGTCAAGATAAAGATAAGGTTCTTAGGGAGTTTATCTCTATCTACTTGAGAGTCCAGGATAAGCATTGAGGCAGAGTCCATTGAAGTTAGGCTTCTACAAGGGATCAGGTCAGTGTTGGCTATAAAAGTAAAGCATCCTTGTGGGTCTAAGGTACGCTTTTTTATATTATGTCTAGTGAGTTAAGCACTAATTATTATCTTTGAGAGATAACTGAGTATTGACTTGATCGTCGGAGTACCCCCTGGTGGACGAACCACCGCCGGAGTCTTTTCTTTCTGTGACAGGTTGTTCGGGCGTGATCTATTCTGCTAGTGTTCTCTAGCTGAGAACCTGTTTGACAGTGTGTTCAGAAAACAACATATACAATTTGGCGCCATTTGTGGGAAAGAAAGGAGAATAGATGGCCAACGATGGACAAAAAGAAAAGATTGGGGACGACATCTCTACTGGAAGTGGTAAACATATTGACTCCAACGAGAAGGAGGATAACTGCAACGAAGAAACTCAGGATCAGAACCCCGGAGAGATGGACGTCGGCCAAGAGAGAGACGTACCAAAGAAGACAGGTCGAGGCGAGTATTATAACGAGAACGACTTCTAGGTATGGAAAGATAGATGCCTGCGGAGGGACGGAGAGATGAAGGGAATGGTGAATAAATTGGCGGACCTGCAAGCAGTCATCAATTTTATAATGCAGAACAACGTCATGCAGCCACAGTTTCCGTTACAAGACACGTCGATTCCAGAGGCCAAGAACAATGCCCAGAAAGGGGGGCAGAAAACAGTCCCTACAGTCCCCCAGCACACCAGGACCAAGGAACACTCTCACCGGCCTTTAAGGGAGGTCGGGCTAGGAGAGTCAATGAAGGGAGATTCTCGGAGGACACATCGTACCAAAGAAGCTGACCCCAAAGAACATCGGCATGTTCAAGGGAAGGAACTTTGTTTCGACGTAACTAATGGAGAGAGATGCAAGAGGACTCATAACGACACCGGGAGTAGCGCACTAAAAAGGCTGAAATCCATTGATAGCCGAGCTCTTGGACAGACCAAAGAGGATCTGAGAGGTTATCTCCAGAGGAAGGGACAAGATGCCGAGGTAACTTCTTCGGTCAAGCCAAGAATGTCGTTCTCGGTAGAATTAGACAAATTTGAAGCCCCGAAGAGGTTTCATATGCCGAATTTCCAAATATATGACAATAAGTCTGACCCTAACTTTCACGTCGGCTTGTACCTGAACTCAATGGCACTGTACACCAGGAATGAGCCGTTACTCTGTAAAGTGTTTCCCTCATCCTTTGGGGAAATCGCATCAGACTAGTTTCACAAGTTGCCGAAATGAATTGTGAAAAGCTGGGAAGGCCTGGCTGAAATGTTCGTGGCTAGGTTTGTGACAAACAAACTACAATTGTTGAGAGTGGACTCCCTGATGGCTTTAAGAATTGGCGAGGATGAAAGCCTTAGGGCCTATGCCAAAAGGTATTACGAGGTGTTCAATCGAATACCATGGTGTAACTAAGAGGTGGCGGTCGTGTCTTTTAAGAATGGCCTGAAAGATGATTGTCTGCTTTGAAAATCACTGACAAAGACACTACCAAAAAGTATGGAGAAACTTATGGCCAGGATAGAAAAGTATGCCAGGGCCGAGAAGAACACGCCAGAGACAAAGGCATCAAAACAAGAGAAGAGAAATAGCTCGCCGAAGCAAGGCCGAGGTAATGGTGGATACAATAAACAAGAGACAGGATTAAGGGCTACACAAGAAGTCATAACCGTATTCCGAATTCCGATCTACAAAGTCTTGGAAAGAATCCAAAATCAGCCCTATTATAGAGCACCAGAGAGGATTCCTGGTGAATTTATGGGAAGAAGTCTGGGGAAATGTTGTGCCTATCACAATGAGGATGGGCATCTAACTCAAGGGTGCAGAGCCCTAAAGGCACATTTGGAAGACCTGGTATGACAAGGTCATCTAAGAGACCTGGTGGATGAGACCAGGACAAGGAAAGAGCAAGTGAGACTGCCCCAGGCACCGGCAGCACCGCCTCCACTAGTACCACAACTGCAAGCAGGCGGACCTTGAGTGATTAATGTGATTCACTCGAAGGTCAATGAGAACGAG